GGACGGACTCATGGGATAAAGCCCATGAGTGACCCCCAGGGAAGAACTAAGTCACATTCGTGGAGCTGCAGAACCCAGCCGCCTGGATGGAGGTGAGCGGCCCAGAAGGCAGCTGCTCACTGGCCCTGTCCAGTCCTTCCCCTCTAACAGTGCTGGTAACAGGTGTGAGGCTGCAGAGGCCTCCTGGAGCGGGCGGACACCCCCGGCCCAGCCATGGCCTCACAGCACTGACAGCAAACCCTCCTGTCCTCACAGGCTGGGGCTGCGTGCCTGGGTGCGAGGCGACTAGAAATTCTGCATCCCCGGTGAGGCTTTGTGAACAGCCTGGGCTCCAGACAGGCTGGGCAGACAGAACTGTCGGGGCAAGTTTCTTCACCTGTAAAATGGGCCTGAAGCCTGCTCCTTCCTGGGGCTTCACGAAGGGCTTGGTGACGGTGGCAGGAGGCGGTGGGTGCGTGGGTGCTGCTGGCCAGGACGGTGAGCACCGGCTTCCTCCTGCAGCACCGAGGGTCAGGGATGCTCCCCTGCCCTGCTCATCCCTCCCTCACCCTAGACCTGCCCCGACCACTGCTAAGGCCCAGTAAGGGCAGGGGTACAGTGGATGTGGCGGACCTGCCCCGGGACCATGCTCCTCAGGGGAAGGGGGTGGGTAGGCCCTGTGGGCTCCCCTTCTACCAGATTAGGCCGCTGATCCCAGCCACACCCCTCCTATGCCCTGCTCAGGCCAGGGGCTTCTCCTCTCTGAGTGGGACAGCGGGGGAGATGCCCCGGCCTCTAGTCTCTGCTCCTCTCCTCTGTAACAGCTGTCCCCTCCTGAGCTGAGTCCCCTACACCAAGCAACATAAACCCCTGAACTCGTGGGAACGGGGACCCTGTTCCACCTTAGTGAGCATCACCTGTCTGCTCCCTGCCCTCAGGGCAGCATCCTTTGGAGGCCTCCGGCCCCACCCAAGCCCCCCACCGCCACACCCCCATCTGCCTGGAGCCACCAGACTGGTTTCTGGGCCCAGGCCTCTTGCCATCACCAACCCTGTGGACCGCCCTCTGTGGCTGGATGCTGGGAGCCTCTCAGGGAGCCCCTCGACAGGCCCAGCTTCCCAGGGCTCATGCCTGATGCGGGGGACCTGTGCAGGCTGCCAGGTAGCTCAGCCAGCGTGTGGCAGGGGTGTCAGGGAAGGCGTCCCAGGGGAGAGGGGATGTCCGGGGGACCCTCTGAATGGCAACAAACACCTGGATTTCCTTCAACGGCCAGGAATCCCTATAGGGTTGTCGAGGAGAGGGTGGAATGAGGGTGGAGTCCAGCCAACAAAGGGCCGGGACAGGACTCTGGATAGGAGCTGAGGAGGGCGGGAACCAGTGGCCCCGGGGGCTCCTGCCCTGTGTCCTGCAGGGAAGCAGATCCCACTTCTCCACTCTGGCTCTTCCACTGTCCTCCCGTGGTCTCAGCCCTCCAAAACCAAGACCCCCCACAACCCAGGCTTGGCCAAAGCACTTTCCTGGCCCCAGAGCATGGCCTGTGGAGCACCGGGAGCAACCACTGTGACCTCTGACTCCCCGCACCAGAGCAGACAGCAAAGGGGAGAGCTATGGCCTGTGGTCAAGATCAAGCCCTGACAAGCCATCAGGAGCCAGAAGCCCAGGCTTTGGTGCTCTAGGCACCACCAGGCCGACCCTGTGCCCCTTGGGGCCAGCACACGGGTCAGGGAACACTTCTGAAGTCCTTTATTGGGCCGGCAAGGCCGGGAGCTGCCCTCGCAGTGGGGTCCCAGTCTGGAGTCTTCAGGTCAGTGGCAGCCCTGCCCATTCTGGCCCGGGCAGGCGGCCCCTGCTGACTCGCTACTTGGTTCGTGCCTTCACATACTCCCAGCCCTCCTTGGAGTACTCGCGGGCCTTGGAGGGGGCCACCGACAGAGCTGACATCACCGTCATGATGCCTGTGGGAAAGGGACGGCCACTGGTGATGCTCCCCTCCCAGCCTCACCCAGCCTCCAACCCCTGGGAAACTCTAAGAGGTTTTTTTTTTGGGTGGTGGGCAGGGGGACAGGGGACAGAGTCTCACTCTGTCGCTGAGGCTGGAGTGCAGTAGTGCGATCTTGGCTCACTGCAACCTTCACCTCCCGGGTTCAAGTGATTTTCCTGCCTCAGCCTCCCAAGTAGCTGGGACTACAAGCGCACCACCATACCGGGCTAATTTTTTTTTTTTTTTTTTTTTTTGGAGATGGAGTCTTACCCTGTCACCCAGGCTGGAGTGTAGTAGTGCAACCTTGGCTCACTGCAACCTCCGCCTCCTGAGTTCAAGCAATTCTCCTGCCTCAGCCTCCCAAGTAGCAGCTGGGATTACAGGCGCACACCACCAAGCCTGGCTAATTTTTGTATTTTTAGTAGAGATGGGGTTTCACCATGTTGCCCAGGCTGGTCTTGAACTCCTGACTTCAGATGATCTGCCCGCCTCGGCCTCCCAAAGTGCTGGGGTTACAGGCGTGAGCCACTGCACCCAGCCTAATTTTTGTATTTTTAGTAGAGATGGGGTTTCACTATGTTGGCCAGGCTGGTCTTGAACTTCTGACCTTGTGATCTGCCCGCCTCAGCCTCCCAAAGTTCTAGGATTACAGGCGTGAGTCACCGCACCCAGCTTTGTTTTGTTTTTTAGAGAGAGGGTTTCCCTCTGTTGCCCACGCTGGAGTACGGTGGTGTGATCATAGTTCACTGCAGCCTTGAACTCCAGGGCTCAAGCCATCCTCCTGCCTAAACCTCCCAAGTACCTGAGATTACAGGCACACGCCACCATGCCCAACTAATTTAAAAAGACTTTTTTTTTTTTTTTTTTTTTTGTAGAGAGAGGGTCTCATTATATTGCCCAGGCTGTTCTCAAACTCCTGGCTTCAAGCAATCCTTCTGCCTTGGATTCCAAAAGTGCTGGTAGCCATGAGCCACCACACCCAGCAAGCAAAATTTTTTTAGAACAACTTCCAGCAGAAACTGAGGCAGAGGTGGGGCAGGGCCTTGCCTTGTCCAAGCTCATAGGACAAGCTCCGATGTGGGCCCAGGCCTCCTGCCTCTCATTCTACCAGGCGTTGTACAACCCAGCCCTCAAAGGCTCCCCCCAATCCCCTTCGCTAGAATCTCCACTCTTTTCCCTTGTATTTATTTATTTATTGATTTTTGAGACAGAGTCTTGCTCTGTCACCGAGGCTGGAGTGCAGTGGCGCCACCTCTGCTCACTGCAACCTCCACCTCCTGGGTTCAAGCGATTCTCCTGCCTCAGCCTCCCTAGCAGTTGGGACTACAGGCATGCGCCACCACACCCAGCTAATTTTTGTATTTTTAGTAGAGATGGAGTTTCACCATGTTGGCCAGAATGGTCTCGAACTCCTGACTTCAGATGATCCACCCACCTCGACCTCCCAAAGTGCTGGGATTACAGGGGTGAGCCACCAGGCTAGGCCTCCTTTCCCTTTTAGATCCCTAAGAGACACATGTTGGGCAGGAAGGGGGATGGACAGAAAGGAATGGCCAGGAAGTGGGGAGAGGGGCTAGACTGGGGTGTCTGCAGCAACCTCCCAAGTAAAGAAACTGGGTGCCTTACCTGCATTCCAGGAGTCACGGATGGGAAAGTAAATCTTTGGAGGGGCTGGGAGCTGGGAAAAGAGATGAGCAGAAAGAAGTGGTGAAAAGGCTCAGCAGCCCATCCCCAGAAGCGGAGGGAGGAGGACAGGCCTGAGAATCAGGCCAGCATAAATATGGAGAACAACATCATGCAGGGCTGGAGGAACCCCCCAAGAGCTCACCACCCGCCAAGCCCTGGCCTCGCTCCCAGCCCGGAGTACCTGGGGTATCTGCAGGCCCGTCTGCTGACACACGTACTGGCTGAACTGGTACACGGCGGGGGGGACCACCTCTCCAGCCTTCTGTAGGGCTGCCTGGCTCTTGTCGCTGGGCCCCAGCAGCTCCTGGTCGTACACCAGGTAGACGGCGCCCCCAGCCACGCTTCCCTTGATGAGGAACCTGCGGGCAGGGACGGGAGGAGCAGAAGCTCAGCGGACACTGACCGCCACGCTCAGGAGGTAAAGGCCCACGGAGACAGTGAGACCCTCCTGGGGGCTCACCGTCCACAGGTGACACTCTGTAGTGTAGCACCATCGACCCAGACTCCCATTATATACAGCACTCGATTTACAATGTGCAAGGCAGGGCGGCTGGACGCCACTTTAACTGATAAACTGAAACCGGGAGGGGGAGAGTGGGTCACTCAAGGTCCCACAGTGAGCGAGGGCAGTGAAGACGTAAGATCCTTGACATTCTAGAAGCCTTCCAGCCCTGGAGAAACCAAGGGTTCCTGGGCGCCTCCTGCCCGCTGTCACTCCGAGCACGCATTCACCTCCCATCCACGCCAGCGGCAGGATTCACCGGCATTCCCACTTCACAGAGAAAACAACTGAGGCTCGGAGGTGGAGGCTGACACCGCGAGTGGAACGCCAAGGGCTCGCTGGGAGGCAGGAGGGAGGAGACTGGCGACCTCGGGAAGCCCCACCCCGCTGGAGCCTCAGTTTCCCTATCTAGCCCATAGGCGGGGGACGAAGGGGAGGTGACCCTACGGAAAGCGAAGAGCAGATCGGGACCACACTGGAGACAGGGGTGCCCACAAAAAGGGACTTTTTCGGGGACTCGGGTCCCCTCCGGCTCCCTCACGCACCTCATCAGCGACCACACCCGGGCCACCATGGTCGCTCGGATCCACGCGCAAGGACACTCGACTCGCCCGCCGCTTCCTGTCGCGGCCCTGCAGAGGCCTCTGGGAGGTGTAGTCTTTCTTGCCCGACGCAAGGTCCTCTGGGAGTCGTAGTCTCTTACGGCTCTGAGACTCCAAAGAAAGGCTGCGGTCCCGCAGCGAGGGGCAGCTGGGAAATGGACGCTTTAAGTCCCGGGCCGCCGCAAGGCTGTCTGGGAAATGTAGTCAGCACGGCGCTATTTGTACCTGCCCGCGGAGCCTCCTGGGAAATGTAGTTCGGCCCGGCCGGGTCCTGGCAGCGTGAAGGGAAAGAGGCGTTAGGTTCCTGGCTGAAGCCTGAAAGTGACTCGAGAAGAAGTCGGAACCCGAGAGATCCACCCGCGCCCGCGCGGGGAACCAAGGGCCCGGACCTAGGAAGAGTGTGCCTAGAAGGCGGTTGTCACGGCAACGCGAGGGCGGGATTGTTCGAGAGCGGCGGCCCCCTCACGTGATCGATTCGGAGGCGGGGCGTCCGCCCAGGGGGCGGTGCCGGGCCCCTGGTGGGAGGTGGAGACCAGGCGGGGACTGTTGCCCGGCGACGCTCCGGCGCTGGGCCCCCGCGGCCTGGCTCCTCGCCGGGAGAAGGTGGGCTTCGAGTCACGTGACCCAGGCCCTACGGGAGGGGGCGCGGTCGGGTACCCGGCAGGAGGCTGCGGAGAAGAGAGGACTGTGGGGGCGTTCGCGTGGCTCCCAGGCTGGGACCCCAGCCCTGCTGTACAGTGGGGGAAACTGAGGCCTGAGTGGGTGAGTGCACGGTTTAGGGGTACGCAGCGGGTCACACGCCCGCTTTGTTCAGAGGGGAAGCTAAGGACCGCCGAGGTCAACAAGGGGCCGGTGAGTTCTGCAGAGATTTGGCTTCCCCCCATTTCTCCCGCATTTCGGCCGGGCTGCTTTAACCGTTCATGTGCCCATCCCTCTGTCCATACGTCCATCCTTCCATCCATCCATCTGTCCATCCACCCATCCATCCTTCCATCTATCCATCCACACTTCCGCTCATCCATCTGAATCCCCATCCATCCACCCATCCGTTCATCCATCTGTCCGCCCATCCACCCACCCATCAATTCATCCATCTGCTCCCCCATCCTTCCACCCATCCATCTGTCCACCCATTCATCTATTTATTTGGCCATCCACTCATCCATCCGTCCATACATCCATAAATACATCCATGCATCTGTCCGTCCATACGTCCATCCTTCCATCCATTTATATGTTCCCCCCGTTTATCCATTCATCCATCCATCCATCCACTCATCTATCTATCCATCCATGCATCTGTCCGTCCATCATCCATCCATCCACCCATCCATCTATTCATCTGGTCATCCACCCACCCATCCATCCTTGTATCTGTGCATCCATACATGCATTTGTCCATCCATCCATCCATCCACCCATCTGTCCACCCGTCTGTCCATCTGGTCCCACTTCCCCCTGCCGGGCTGCTGCAGTCAGTATGGAGCTGGGGGCGGAAAGAGGGATGAGCAGAGGGGCTTCATGGGCTGTCCCTGGCAGGGGAAAAGGTGGAAGCTCGTTTCTTGCTGTGGGCATGCCTGGTGTGTTTGGGGAAGGCGAGGAGTTCACTGTTTTGAGAACTGAACGATTCATTGATGGGGCCGTGGGAGAGGAGGAGAGACAAGTAGTCAGGGTCTACACCTGCAGGGCCTCATGGGGTGCAGTGAGGAGCCTGGTTTCCACCAGTTGCAGTGGGGACCCCTGAGAGGGTTTGGAGCAGGCAGGGCCGTGGCCATGTTGCTTTTGACACAGATGCCTTTGGCTGCATGGACAGGAGAGACAGGGAGGGAGTGAGTGTGGACATGGGGAAGCCAGTGTGGAGGTGGGCAGACCAAGTGGGAGATGGAAGGGAGGCCAGAGGAAAAATGGGGGTGGTCAGGCCAGGAGTAGGGTCTAGGAGGGAGGTAACAATCTGGGAGCCCTGGAGAGAGAGAGGAAGGGACAGTTGGGGAGAGATTGGAGACGGAGAATGGATAAGATCTGAAAACCATGAGCTCATGGGGGTGAAAGGATAGAAGGAGGTGAGGACAATGCCTGGGTCTCCCATTTAGGGACAGGGGACAGTGGGGCTATTACTGTGATGGTGAGCTGGGAAGAGAAGCAGGTGTGGGGTGACATGCTGAGCCTAGATTGGGTCCTGCTGGCTCTAAGGGGCCTGGAGGTTGTCAAGAGGAGACACCCAGAGGACAGCAGAGGCAAAGAACCTAGGGCTGGACCTACAGATGGGAGATTTCGGGACTCCTCAGTGATCCCCTCCGTCTGGTTTGTCTCATCTTCCTGGTTCTGGAAGTCCTCTTCCCCTTGTCCCACTGACTTTTTCTTTTTTTTGAGACGGAGTCTCGCTCTGTCGCCCAGGCTAGAGTGCAGTGGCCGGATCTCAGCTCACTGCAAGCTCTGCCTCCCGGGTTCACGCCATTCTCCTGCCTCAGCCTCCCGAATAGCTGGGACTACAGGCGCCCGCCACCTCCCCCGGCTAGTTTTTTTTGTATTTTTTAGTAGAGATGGGGTTTCACCATGGTCTCGGTCTCCTGACCTCTTGGCCCGCCTTGGCCTCCCAAAGTGCTGGGATTACAAGTGTGAGCCGCCGCGCCCAGCCTTTTTTTTTTTTTTTTTTTTGGTATGGAGTTTTGCTCTTGTTGCCCAGGCTGGAGTGCAATGGCAAATCTCAGTTCACTGCAACCTCCATCTCCCGGGTTCAAGCAATTCTCCTGCCTCAGCCTCCCAAGTATCTGGGATTACAGGCATGTGTGTGCCTCAGCCCCCTGAGTAGCTGAGATTACAGGCACCTGCCACCACGACCGGCTAATTTTTGTATTTTTAGTAGAGGTGGGGTTTCACCATGTTGGCCAGGCTGGTCTCAAACTCCTGACCTCAAGTGATCTGCCTGCCTCAGCCTCCCAATGTGCTGGGATTCCAGGCGTGAACCACCACACCCAGCCCAAGGAGGTCACTTTTGCACTGAGACTTGAAAGAAGTGAGAGAGCAAGCCATTTGATTATATCTGGGAACAGCATTCTAGGCAGTAGAAATAGCCTATGCGAAGGCCCTGAGGCAGGATGGTGACTGGCTTTTTTTGTTGTTTGTTTTTTTGAGACAGAGTCTCGCTGTGTTGCCCAGGCTGGAGGGCAGTGGCACAATCTTCTCAACTCACTGCAAGCTCCATCTCCCGGGATCACACCATTCTCCTGCCTCAGCCTCCCGAGTAGCTGGGTCTACAGGCGCCCACCACCACACCTGGCTAATTTTTTTTTTTTTTTTTTTTTTGAGACAGAGTCTTGCTCTGTCGCCCAGGCTGGAGCGCAGTGGCCGGATCTCGGCTCACTGCAAGCTCCGCCTCCCGGGTTTACGCCATTCTCCTGCCTCAGCCTCCCGAGTAGCTGGGACTACAGGCGCCCGCCACCTCGCCCGGCTAGTTTTTTTTTTTTTTTGTATTTTTTAGTAGAGACGGGGTTTCACTGTGTTAGCCAGGATGGTCTCAATCTCCTGACCTCGTGATCCGCCCGTCTCGGCCTCCCAAAGTGCTGGGATTACAGGCTTGAGCCACCGCGCCCGGCCTTCCTGGCTAATTTTTTGTACTTTTAGTAGAGATGGGGTTTCACCGTATTAGCCAGGATGGTCTCGATCTCCTGATCTCATGATCCACCCGCCTAGGCCTCCCAAAGTGCTGGGATTACAGGCGTGAGCCACCGCGCCCGGCCAGCTGGTTTCCAGGAACAGCAAAGGGTCTGTTTTAGTGGAGCAGAGTGAGCAAGGAGGACAGGTCCACGCAGGGTGCTTGTGGCCACCAAGGAGTCTGGTTTTTATTCTAACTGGAACAGGAAGGATTTTCAGTCCAGGGGAGGCAAGGTGTGTGGATGGAGAGGGCTGAGAAGGGTGGAGGGAGAGGGAGCAGGTGCGGTGGTTCATGGAGCCACCGTGGTGGCCTGGACAGGTGGTGGCTGTGGAGAGGAGGGCGTGGATCCAAGGCGGTGGCATCACCAAACACCCACCAAACGCGGTGGCTGTGGGCCAGGCCTGTGCCGGCCACCTCTGTCCCCTGTCCCTCTGCAGGCCCACAGAGGACCATGAAGGTGCTTCTCCTCACAGGGCTGGGGGCCCTGTTCTTCGCCTATTATTGGGATGACAACTTCGACCCAGGTGAGCACCTGGGGTTGAGGGAGGGAGAAACCGGGCCAGCTGTCCTGTCCTCCGCCCAGAGTGACCACCCTGGCTATGGCCAGCCAGCCTCCAGGGAGCGCGAGTACTGCTGACAGGGGCCAGCGCTGGTGTCGGTGAGGAGCTGGCCTATCACTACGCGCGTCTGGGCTCCCACCTGGTGCTCACTGCCCACACTGAGGCCCTCCTGCAGAAGGTGAGCCACCCCATGTCTAGACGAATGGTGGGGGTGCTCATGGCGGGAGGGAAGAGAGCCTAGGTTTGAATCCTTGCAATGACCAGGCTTCCTGTGTGACCTTGGGCAAGTCGCCTAACCTCTCTGAGCCTCTCAGTTTCCTCATTTGCAAAACGGGGACAATAAAACCATTTTCTGGCCAGACACGGTGGTTCAAGCCTGTGGTCCCAGCACTTTGGGAGGCTAAGGCAAGTGGATCACCTGAGGTCAAGAGTTCAAGACCAGCCTGGCCAACATGGTGAAACCCCGTCTCTACTAAAAATACAAAAATTAGGCCAGGCACGGTGGGCTCACGCCTGTAATCCTAGCACTTTGGGAGGCCAAGGCAGGCAGATCACTTGAGGTCAGGAGTTCAAAACCAGCCTGGCCAACATGGTGAAACCCCGTCTCTACTAAAAATACAAAACAAAACAAAACAAAAACAAACAAAACAAAACAAAAAAAACACCAGCATGGTGGCAGGCACCTGTAATCCCAGCTACTGAGGAGGCTGAGGCAGGAGAATTGCTGGAACCCAGGAGGTGGAAGTTGCAATGAGCTGAGATCACACCACTGCACTCCAGCCTGGGTGACAGAGAGAGACTCTGTCTCAAAACAAAGAAAAACAAAATTAGCAGGGCATGGTGGCACGAGCATGTAGTCCCAGCTACGTGGGAGGCTGAGTCAGGAGAATCACTTGAACCCTGGAGGTGGAGGTTGCAGTGAGCCGAGATCGCACTACTGCACTCCAGCCTGGGCAACAAAGTGAGACTCCGTCTCAAACAAACAAACAAAAACCCCACCTTCTCATGGGTTAGGATGTTGTGCCAGTGCAGTGAGGCGGTGACTGGAAAGTGCAGTGTTTCTCAGCAAATGAGAGTATTGAGTGTCCATGCCTGTGCTGATAGCCAGGGCTCTCAAACTCCAAGGGAAGGATGGCCACTTCCTAGCAACAAACAGCCCATTGCTACTTCAAGGAAGGGTATAGCTCTTGGGCTCAAACTTTTCAGTTTTTCAAGAGAAGCTAGCAATCTGGAAATTGTAGGTGAAATGTCCTGTTTTAGATGTTGGTGATTGACTAACCACCAAATTGGCCAGCATTCTGGCCCGCAGGCTCCACTTTGTGCCCCCAGCAGTGGTACATTTTTGGGAATGGTGTCGAATGGGGCTCGAGGCTCAGAGTGAGGGGGGGGTTTTCAGGCGGGGGCCTCCCTATGGCTGGCAGGTGCGGGGTGGGGGGGGCGCTGCTGTAGAGGAGAGGCCCACGGGCAGCTCTGGCCCCCCCCAGGTGGTAGGGAACTGCCGGAAGCTGGGCGCCCCCAAGGTCTTCTACATCGCTGCGGACATGGCCTCCCCTGAGGCGCCCGAGAGTGTGGTGCAGTTTGCGCTGGACAAGCTGGGTGAGGGGCTGGGCCTGAAGCCTGGAGTCCAGGACCTTGGCCTAGGCCTTAGGGACAGGACCGGAATTGGGCTGTGGGTGTGGCTACAGTAACAGGTGTGTCAGGGCGGAGACTTATGCGGACTGGGGGCGTGGTCGGGGCGGAGTCTCATTGCATCTTGGGGAAAGTGCTCTGAACGGGGCCTCACTGAATGGGGACGAAACCTTGCTAGATCCAGGGAGTAAGGCCAGGGCTGGGTGTCTTTGATCGTAGGGGGAGTTACCTGGGGCGGAGTTCACTGGATCAGCGCTCTGGGTGGAGCTAAGATCGGGGGCGGGGTTTGATCGTTGTCTTGGGGAGGGGCCTCGGGGCTGACCGGCGTTTCTGGGCCAGGAGGGCTGGACTATCTCGTGCTGAACCACATCGGCGGCGTCCCGGCCGGCACGCGAGCCCGCACCCCCCAGGCGACGCGCTGGCTCATGCAGGTGCTCCACTCCTCCGTGGCCCCAGCCCGCCCCTCGATCTCAGGGACCGGTGGTCCGCTTCCTTCGCGGCCGGGGCTTTGCCAACTCCTGAGCCGGCTCTCCACCTTTCCCGCCCCGGCCACGCCCCTCCTAGCCCAAGGCCCCGCCCCGGCCTTGACCCCGCCCCCGGGCCGGCCTTCCGGGTTTCTGGCCCCGCCTCGGACCCGGTTCTGGCCCCGCCCTCCGGGTTTCTAGCCCCGCCCTGCCCGTAGGCTCCGCCTCTGCCGGTGACTCGCGAGTGCCACCTGCAGGTAAACTTTCTGAGCTACGTGCAACTGACGTCGCGGGCGCTGCCCAGCCTGACGGACAGCAAGGGCTCCCTGGTGGTGGTGTCCTCGCTGCTCGGTGCGTGCACTCGGCCCCGGCCCTGCGGGACGGGGAGTGGGGAGCTCGATGCGGGTGAGCCTGGAGGGTCTGGGCAGGCTTCCCGGACGACGGGGAGCCACTCAGCCGCTGCTGTCCGCGCTCCCAGGCCGCGTGCCCACGTCGTTCTCCACTCCCTACTCAGCGGCCAAGTTCGCGCTGGACAGCTTCTTCGGCTCCCTGCGGCGGGAACTGGACGTGCAGGACGTGAACGTGGCAATCACCATGTGTGTCCTGGGCCTCCGAGATCGCGCCTCCGCCGCTGAGGCAGTCAGGTGAGGCCCGGGCGAGCCTGGGGTTGGGCTGGGGCCCATGGGCGGCCGCCCAGCCCCAGCCGCAGTCCCCACCGCGCCCTCCCGTCCCCAGGGGAGTCACGAGGGTCAAGGCGGCCCCGGGGCCCAAGGCAGCCCTGGCCGTGATCCGCGGCGGCGCCACGCGCGCAGCTGGCGTCTTCTACCCGTGGCGTTTCCACCTGCTGTGCTTGCTCCGGCGCTGGCTGCCGCGCCCGCGGGCCTGGTTTATCCGCCAGGATCTCAACGTCACGGCCGCTGCTGCAGCCTGAGCACCTGGGGGTGCCCCTTAACGTCCCAGACGGGAACGCTCCTCTCTCCAACTGTCCCTGGAGCCAGAACACTCACAGAGACACCCCTGAGAGGGTGGCCATAGCCCAAGATGAAGTCATCAAGACAGAAAAGCAAAACCGAGAAAAACGACGGGCACCTGGAACCAGTTACAGCTTTGGAGGTGCAGGTGCCCCTTGTTAGGTGCCTTTGTCCGGGACCTGCAAAGCCTCACCTGTTTGGCCTTTATTGATGACATGACTGCTTCCATTTTGCAGATGAGGAAACTGAGGCTCAGAGAGGTCACGCCACCCTTGAGCCACCCATGGACCCCTCTCCATCTCCTGTCTGTGTTTCTAAGTCCCTGATTTATTTTTTCCACTCATTGCATCTGGGATTATCTCCCCCAACCCCTGCCAGCTTCCCCCAGCTGGGGTCTCTGGTACTCTTCACACCTGCAGGGACGTCTACACTGTTCGTCTAGCTGGTGGCAGGGTCTGAGGGGGAGGAGGAGGGAAAGAGTGTGTTCTGGGCTGGACCCAGCCTCCTGTTTGTGAATAAAAACTCTTCTTCTCTTGCATATATGTTGTTCAAATTCCTTGGTAATTCCAATTTGCTAGCAGCTGGTGGGCAAAGGGAGTGGGGTGTATGTATCAGGATCCTTGACTCTCAATCCCATTTCACAGGTGGAGAAATGGAGGCTGAGAGGGCCAGGAGCCGTGGCTCACGGCTATAATCCCAGCACTTTGGGAGGCCAAGGTGGGCAGATCACTTGAGGTCAGGAGTTTGAGACCAGCCTGGCCAACATGATGAAACCCTGTCTTTACTTTTTAATTAATGTATTTATTTTTGAGACGGAGTCTCACTCTGTCGCCCAGGCTGGAGTGCAGTGGTGCGATCTAGGCTCACTGCAACCTCCACCTCCGGGGTTCAAGCGATTCTTGTGCCTCAGGCTCCCGAATACTTGGGATTATAGGTGCAGGTCACCACACCTTTTTGTTTTTTTTTTTTTTTTAGTAGAGATGGGGTTTTATCATGTTGGCCAGGCTGGTCTCGAACTCCTAGCCTTAGGTGATCCCCCAGTCTCGGCCCCTCAAGTGCTGGAATTACAGGTGTCAGCCACTGTACCCAGCTGCAAATATTTTAATTAAAAAATTAGCCAGGCGTGGTGGCATGTGCCTGTGGTCCCAGCTAAGGAGGCTAAGGCAGGAGGATCACTTGAGCCCTGGAAGTCAAGGCTGCAATAAGTTATGATTACAGCACTGCACTCTCTAGCCTGCGTGACAGAGCAAGACCCTGTCTGGAAAAAACATGAAAGCGCTAACCCCAATTAGAGCAGCCCTAAATCGAGACTCTGTCTCGTATATTAGTAGCATTAAAGGAGAAAAATTGGAAACTTGTGTGTTTCCGCCACGTAATTCAGTTATTTACTTCCCGTCCCTGCACCACCTAAAATTACATCAGATGTCCCCAAGGGGCACTATTACACGTTGCTGTATTCGGACCAAGTCCAGAGCTTGACCAATTGATAGATAATGAAACCAATACCCTCGTTAATGGGACTTTTTTTTTTTTTTTGACAGAGTTTCGCTGTTGCCCAGGCTGGACTGCAGTGGCGCGATCTTGGCTCACTGCAACCTCTGCCTCTGGTGTTCAAGCAATTCTCCTGCCTCAGCCTCCTGAGTAGCTGGGATTACAGAAGCATGCCACCATGCCTGGCTATTTATTAATTATATTTTTGAGACGGAGTCTTGCTCTGTCGCCCAGGCTGGAGTGCAGTGGCGCGATCTCGGCTCACTGCAAGCTCCGCCTCCCGGGTTCACGCCATTCTCCTGCCTCAGCCTCCCGACTAGCTGGGACTACAGGCGCCTGCCACCAGGCCTGACTAATTTTTTGTATTTTTCGTAGAGACGGGGTTTCACCGTGTTAGGCTGGTCTCGAGCTCCTGACCTCGTGATCCACAAGCCTTGGCCTCCCAAAGTGTTGAGATTACAGGCGTGAGCCACCGCACCCGGCCTAATGGGCGTTTTAACAGTTCAAACAGTTTATTATTATTCTCGTTCTACAATTGAAGAAATTCTGGGGGATGACGTCGTCGATGCAGAGTCGGCCAGAAATCGGCGGAGTTGGCTTTCGAACTCATGTCACAAGCAGAGAGAGGAAGGCAGCCACAGTCACCTCCACTGGTTCCGACTCCAGCTCTCGGGCTCGCAGGAGTAAACGCGCATGCTCAGGGAGCTCGGTCGCGCATGCTCAGTGAGACCGCGGGGGGAAGACTCCAGCCGCCAGGGGGAGCGCGCGCCGTTCTTGCCTCTCTGGCATGCGCCTCCTGAGCCGAGTAGATATCCCAGAGTTCCGCTCGCCGCCAGCCCTTCCGCCAGGGCCGCCACGGGAGAGCAGTAGGTAAGTGCTTTCCCGCACTGCCGGGATCCGCCGCCATCCAGACTCCCGGGTCCTCTGTGCGGGTTGGAGGATGGTTGGTTGTGGCAAGCGAGGCTGAAGAAGCCGGGACGCGGGTCTCTGGGCCTCGGGAACCGAGCCTGTACTCACCTCCGCCCCTTCTCCCCTCCGCTGTCCGCAGCCATGGCTCTACGCTACCCTATGGCCGTGGGCCTCAACAAGGGCCACAAGGTGACCAAGAACGTGAGCAAGCCCAGGCACAGCCGCCGCCGCGGGGTGAGTGCGGGGGCCACGCGGAGGTTGTCGGGGGTTTCTTGGAGGGTGGAGGGCACGGCTTGGGCAAAGGCTCTCGACCTGAAAGAATGCGCGTTGGGGTGCGGAACTAAAGGGGGCGGCGGCAATCCACGCTGGGGCAGAGGGAGCACCTTGAGAGCGGCGCGGGGCAGCGGGTTTGGGGTTCTGACGTATGAGTAGGAGTTCGCTGATGGAGCTGGCCCGAGGTTGCGGTGTGTGAGGTTGGGGGATTTCAGGTGTGCCAGTGTACTGGGCTCTTTTATTCAGCCTGGACTCCAGGCGCGTCCTGCGAGTGTTGCGGAGACTGGGACTTGGGGAGGATGGGAGCTGCTCCGGGCGCGGTGAAAAGCGCTAGGGGTTAATGCCTTAGTTCTCACAGCTACTTACAGAGGGGAGGAAGTAGCCAGGGAAATCGTGGCAGCGCGAGAAGCTGCTTAAGTAGAATGCAGGGTTCCCCCTACCCTGACGGCCGCCCCTTTCCCCCCAGCGTCTGACGAAACACACCAAGTTCGTGCGGGACATGATTCGGGAGGTGTGTGGCTTTGCCCCGTACGAGCGGCGCGCCATGGAGTTACTGAAGGTCTCCAAGGACAAACGGGCCCTCAAGTTTATCAAGAAAAGGGTAGGTGGGCGCTGCCGGCCGAGGGGCGGGATGGGATGGGAGTTGGGGCCGGGCTGACTGCGGCCTCGTCCCTGGCAGGTGGGGACGCACATCCGCGCCAAGAGGAAGCGGGAGGAGCTGAGCAACGTATTGGCCGCTATGAGGAAAGCTGCTGCCAAGAAAGACTGAGCCGCCTCCCCCGGCTTCTCCGTGAAATAAAGAACAGCTTGACCGAAGCCCTGGCTCTGCTGCTGTCCGTGGGTGGGGGGGGGTTGTCCGCCGTCCCCTCTGGTGCCCGCCCTGAGCCACACCCTCTGTGGGTGCTGCCTGGCCGCGAATCAAAAGCCCTGGCCCACCCACCCTTCCTGGGGCAGATGAGGCCGCCGCCGTACTGGAAATGACTTTAATCATTAAATAGTTTCTGTGCCAGACACTGATTAAGCCGATTGAGGTCCCTGGGATCTGGGTCACTGGACCGAGCTGCTCGCTCGGTGGCTCCGCTGCCAGGCCCGGGTGCAATCCCCTCAGCGCTCAGTTCCAGCCCAGACAGGGCCTGACATCCGCTTCCTACAGTCCAGGGGGAGCCGTCACCGCTCCACAGCCAGCGCCTCTGCCTCTGCCTGCTCGTCCGGGAAGGCGATGTCAAAGATCTCCCGGTAGTGCTCCACGAAGTGCACCTCCAGGCCCTCGGTGATGAAGGCTGCCAGGTCGTAGAAGTCCTTCTTGTTCTCGGCTGGCAGGACAATGCACGTCACCCCTGCGCGCTTGGCCTGGGGGCAGAGTCATGGTCAGCCCTGCCTGGGCCTGTGGGAGGACAGCAGGTGTGCTGTCCTCCAGGAAGGAAAGGGCTTCTAAGCAGGATCCCCATCCCCGGCAGGGAAACAGGCTCAAGGCGAACCATTGGCCTTGGCTCTGACAGCCTGAGAGCAGGAGCCAGGGCCTCCCCACCCGTGGGAGCAGTCTTAGGGCTCTGGATGAGCCACACCCCCACGGCCTCACCTCCAGGGGTCAGGCACAGTGTCTGGGGCCTGAACACGGGCCTGTGAGCATCTGCATCTGAGCCCAGCCTGCTCTGCCCCCAGGCCCTGCGGCACCCCTCCCCAGCTCCGGAGGCTACAGGTCTGCCAGGCACAGCCCCTTAAAAGGACAGCAGTTCACACTGTCACTGCACACTGCCTCCAGGGACAGTAAGCCTCCCAATTTGCCCCACCATTGATCTAGGGAGTTTGTGCCTGGTGTCCAGGTCGAGGTGGTCATGGCCACTTGACCACGCCTCCCTCAGTGGCATATCCTGGCTGACTCCACCAGGCTTCCTACACACACGGCAGGTGTGGTCCAGTCTGGGGACAGGCAGGGCTAGGAGGGAAGAGCAGGGACAGTGGCATTCCAACCTGCTCAGCACCCTGGCTGGGAGCTCCAAACACTCCCTACACCAGCAATGCCTAAACCTTGTCCCCATCTCCAGCCTCCCACTTGCTGCTGGGCTGCCTGGGAAAGGAAGCAGGAACCACGCCCCCGGCCCTCTACTGGGGCAGCCAGTGGAGGCGCTAGAATGTAACCCACACGACTCGCTGTGGAGAAGGCAGCTAGGGCGGTCAGCTTAAGGCCAGCTCCAGGCCAGAGAAACTTGAGTCCAAAGCCCAGGGCTTCCCTCTTTCCTGGCCCCCACAGAGGCTGCGTGGTGGGAACTGGGCCTGTCCCGTGGTGGTGTGGGCCCTGCCAGTGCTGTGGGGCAGGCACAAGGACACTCACCGCAATGGTCTTCTCCTTGATGCCGCCAACAGGCAGGATCTTGCCCGTGAGGGAGACCTCGCCAGTCATGGCCAGGTTCTGCCGGACGGGCCTGCCCATGGCCAGGGACAGCAGCGCCGTGACGATGGTGCAGCCTGCGCTCGGGCCATCCTTGGGGGTGGCGCCCTGTGGGGGGGTGTGGGGAAAACGGGTGAGTAGGTGGCCAGCGGCCCAGGGGCGGGTCGGGAGCGGGTGACGCGGTTACCTCGGGCACATGCAGGTGGATGTGTGAGGTCACCAGGTAGTTGTTGGCGGGGGCGTGCTGCATGAGGAAGGCCCTGGCGAAGGTGTAGGCTATGCGGGCGCTCTCCTTCATCACCTCCCCCAGCTGGCCTGTCACCTCCAGGCTGCCGTCCTTGTCACCCTTGGCGTCCTTGTCCTGTGGCCGTCTCAGGGATGTCTCCACAAACAGTGTGGAGCCTCCTGGAATGGGTGTGGAGCTGTGAACACGGGAGGCCTCAGAGCCCGGGCTGGCGCTCACTCCACCCCTCGGG